TCAACTAGAATGTTTAGTTGCAAACACTTTTCTATCTGAGCACCTACGGGACAGTGGATGGCGGCGATGCCGTCATCTGGTGTCCAGCCTGTCAGTGATTTGAAACCGTTTCGTGAATTCTGCCTCAAATTAGGGACAGTTCACAATGCTTAAATTCTATTAACCTTTATATTTCTGAGCGAGGGACAACAAGCTGTTAATTTCGGCGTTTCCTAAGAAAATCAGACAGGGACTTGGTGGCACACACGAATAGCACATGCTCGATGGTGCCGTCTACTGGCGCGCCACTCGCATCTCAGTACAGCCTCCATGACAGGAAGCAGATAATTCAATTTTTAGCTAAGGAATACAAGAAAGAGCCTTCCATGAAGAGCTTCCTGTACTGCAACGCCCGCTACAGCGGCGCTCACCAAGCAGCAGCCTCTGCATTGGGGCCCCAGCTGTCTGTCCAGCGGTCAAATCGAAGGCGGAAACTCATAGATATATTGAAACACAGAGAATAAATGCAATAGTACGCAGATTTATCACTACAAGGACATTTCTGAAGCGTGCGAAGGCCCGTAGCATTTGTAGTCCACAGCGGACCCGGCGTTTGCTACCCATCACAGTACACACTGTCCCAATCGCGTAGTTCGTTCCCTTGGCATGTGTTCCCCGAGATATTCAGCAGAATTTCAACTCTGGAATAATTAATAATAGATCTCATTAGTGGGCTACCGGTCAACCTTCCAAGCAGCCAAAAGGATATCCAACCTAGTAATTTGTCTCGCTGGCAGAGGGCGAAAAGCGTTTGCCAGTAAGTTGCCCCTGTCAAAGAGGTGAACACACACTTCAGTCCTAGCAATTCACCTCGCTCGCCCAGAAGTGAATTGAACTGCGAAGGAATAAAAGATTAGAATCGCCCTTTGCTTTCCCTATCTACTACTGGCCGTGCAGTGCACTGCACTGTAGGGTTTATTTCGTGGAGAGGAGGGCTTTGCAGGCGATAAAAATTGCTGAGTCAGTCAACTTCTTCAAGCTCTGCGAGATGCTGCAACTCCGGCGGCAGCAGCTCAAGGTCTTCCTCCCTATGGGGGGTTGGCTGCGTGCCAGCTTGGACGCCTGGACCTTCGGGACGGGCGGGCGTGTCATTTAGCTCGGCTCTTATACCCTCCGTTTCCTGTTCTGTTTTGCTTTCCATTGAGGTTTCGGCTTCGAACTTATCCAAAGTCGGCACCATAAGGCGAATGCTGAAACGTGCGAGGAGGTGAGAGAGGCCGCTGATTGCCAACCCAACGCGTTCACAACTCAGCTCAAAGATTGGGACCACCGTCAGGCAGAAGCCCGTGGGAATGCGGAAAGAACAACGATGCGGAAGCTGTACCTGTAGCGCAAGGACCATCACCAACAGCGCGAATCACTTAACGCTGCTGCTGCTTCACGACTACATTTGAAAACAGATATGACAAAGTGCAATCGAGCCAGCTTCTACGCACTGGGTCTGCTTTGACAGGCTGAGTCATCTTCACAGCTTACCTGGTGCACACGAACTCTCTCCTTAGGCCGTGTAACGTGAGGAGGCAGGTAAGGGACCAACTGATCGTCGAAATCCCCTCGCCACCACTCGCCCA